CCACCCCGTCACCAGGGCATCCCCCAACACACATCCACTGAAGCCACTTTTCATAGCAATTCGTGCAATCCTAGTCAAGATAGAGTAAAGGATCCCTGGTTCCAATTGTGCAAGAGAAAAAGAAAAACCACTGGGTAGTAAAACTGGGAGGAAGTTGATCTTCACCATCGTTCCAACGTGGCAACTCTCCGTCTTTGCAGTGCTCCCGTGAATAACAATAAAAACCTCCTGAGCAAGAAGAGCAACCACCAAAACGTGTCCTGAAACAACCTCTTCAGTGGTCGTCATCCCACTGCCATCGAGTCAATCCCAGACTGCTGGCATCTGAGCGTGTAACGCACTAGGCCACCAGTGTGCCTCTAGTCTCCATGGCATCTAATGATTTTGCTTCACAGAATGTGAGCTGAGATGTCATATCACCTATCCTCCTCGTCTGGCACAGAGGAAGGAGATTTCAGAACTCTAGAAATGAAGACACATATCCAAGGTACCACTGCTTTTTTTTCCTTTTTAACCCGACGAACCCATCTGTGCTCGGAATTCTGAGTCCGCCACCTTGCCAGGTTGTTGCAGCTTCTCGTCAGCCCCCTCTGCCCAGCCTCGGCAGGCTCTCCCTCTGCACCGTCCATGCCAGACAAGCATGCTGGGGGACCTCCAGCCCTCCCCAGAGTGATTTCTCAGCCCTCGCCTCCAGACCTAATAGACTTCCCCAAAGAACTGTCTGCATCCCTTATGTTCACTTCCTCGCCTCCCATTCGCTCCTCAAATCAATCCAGGGTGGCTCCTTTCTATTCTACAGGACTCGAACACCTACAGTAGGTCACTGGCAACTTCCAGGAGGCCAACCGCAGGGCATTTCTCATCTTCACCTTACTCGAAGTTTTAGCGGCCAGTTTTAGCAGCCACTGCCAGACTAATCTGCTCTTGCCTTCTTGAAACACGCAGTGCGGGCTTTCCTGACTCCATGCTCACTCTCCACCTTCCTCTCCCTTGAGAGCAACCTGTCCTCGTCGGAGAGGCCACGGCTCCCTCGTCTCTCCCTGCCTCCGTGCCTTTCTCCATTTCCATGACTGCCATTGTCCAATGTGTGCTCCAGACTCCCAGCTTTCCATCAATTCTGAGCCCCTGGCTTATAACCATCTGTCCATCACAGTGCTGTCACCTGTCAGACACTCGGTAAACATTTGTAGAATCAATCAGTAAATTATTCAATGGACCGATTCATCTCACTAAGACTTAAAAGTCTTGACCTTACTCCCCAAACCAATTTATCGCCGAGTTGCCCTTCTCAGAAAACAGTGCAGACTCCATTTAATCAAACGCGGGAGTCATGCTTGATTCATCCCTCCCTCATATCTAATCCGTTAACAATTACTATTATTTTTGACAACCAAATTCTATCACTCCCCCACCCGCCGCTTCTCTAGATCACCTGCCTTCACAAGTATACACTCATGATCGTCTCGCTTCCAGCCTTTCACAATCGCTTCTCCCCGTCTACCATGCCATCTCCATTCTCCTCACCGGGGCCTGGGGAATCTATCTGAAATGAACACGAGATCGTGTCCCTATTCTAAGACACACAGCCCCTTCCTTTTGGACACGGGCAGGATACTGCAGACTCGCCAGCCCCCTTCCTGCCTCATCGCACGCACGTGCTCTCCCCCCGTGCCCTGTGTCAGCTCCAGAGCCACCTTCACGTCCTCAGCTCGGCCGGCCCGGGGCTAGTCCGCCTGGGGGACATCACACACTTCTCTTCTCAGAAATGCAGACAGCGCTAGTTTCCCCCGAACGACACTGTCCAGGAGAGTTTTCTGCCGTGATGGAAATACCTGACCGAGTACGCGGTCCAATTTGAAATATGGCTAGTATAACAGACACAAAGTTTCTTTTTTTCATTATTTTTAATTAAAACTTAAACAACCACATTAGCTATATTGTTGTTTCTTTTCTTATTTATTCTCTCATTCCCAATGAACTTCAAGAGAATAGTTATCATATTTGTTCTGCTCACAACAGCAATCCCATGCTGTCTACTTAGAAGATGCTCATTAAAAACTAGCTGCATGTTGAAAAGAGCGTGGAACTCCAGTTGGCCAAGTTCACATACATTCTTTTCTATTACACCACACCTACTTAATCAAACCGATGTAAAATGCCTCATCACTACATAGTTAATCTGACATTTGGGGGAAAAAATTCTTATATTAGTCAACTTGGTAGCTCTGGTGGCGTAATGGTTATTATGTTGGGCTGCCAACCTCAAGGTCAACAGTTCAAAACCTCTATCCCCTCCATGGGAGGAAAACTAGCTTTCTACTCCCGTAAAGAGTTACAGTCCCAGAAACATGCAGGGGAAGTACTACCAGGTCCTCAACGGTTGCTATGAGCTGGCATCAACACTGGGGCAGTGAATTTGCTTTGGGTTTTGGTCTAAATTTATTTCCTATAATTTTCTAGAGAGACAGAATGGTTAAAGGCGAAGACTTTATGGAAAAGTTTTTCAAAGCAATTATAGGACTTAAGCTTTTCTTTTTCATTAGATGATTAAGATTAATGATGAAAAACACCCAAAGTACAGACCCAGTTCCCAAGTCTCAGAATTCAAAAGCAGCAACGTCATAATTCAGCCATCATAGAACAATCTGCATTAATTACTCCAATTTGCTTCTCTCCTCCTTCCAGTTACCTGTTGGGGCCTTGGTGTCGGCTTTCTTGCTCTCCCGGCTCCCCTTCTGGGCCCACACGTGCACCGTGTACTCCACGCCTGGCCTCAGGCCCGTCAGCACCGTGCTGCTCTGATCCTTCCTCACGGGCACCTCCTTGGTCTCTCCATCGGCAGACGTATAGCGCACCATGTACCTGTCAATGGCGGCCTGCACGGGGTCCCAGGAGACCGAGGCCGTGTTCTCTGTCACCCTGTCTGTCACCAGGTTCTTGGGGCTGTCAATGTCTGGAAGGAAAGGTTCTAATCAATAAACATTATTACCAGGTGCTAGACCACAGGTTCCCAAACTTATTGTGCCTACTACTACATTTTCAGGGGGAAAAAATATTAGTAAGCATCCTCCTGGCAATTAGCTTTTGTACTTTAGTCTATAATCCAGGCTAGTGTAGGTGTCTGTTTTGCAGCCCCCCTGAGTCATTAAAACACCCCGAGGGGGGTAATATCACCTACTTTGGGAAAGACTGTCCTAGAGGGTGGAAACTAGTGGCTATTTTCCTGTGGTGAGGCCCTTTCCTTTTCATGGTTTTTCATCTCATGTGCTCTTGTTTCATTTTTGAACAATCTCATGGCCATCTCTCGTCTCCCAGGTAAATAGTCTCCTCAGTGAGATAGCAGAATAGAACAGAATTTGAAAATCTGGGTTATTGCTTCCACTAACAGTTTAGGAAAATAAATCTCCCTTGTCATTTGTAAGGGCATATTGAGCCCAACTAAGTACCAGTCCCACTATTGGGTAGGTGTTGAGCTACTGACCATGACCACAAGGTCTGTGGTTCCAAGCCACCAGTTGATACTAGGGGAAAATATGAGGCTGTCTCAACCGCAGCCAGTAATGTGTGACCCACAGGCATGGTGCCCGGTGGCATGCTAGGCACACTACTGAAGAAGACCATCTCTGCTCACAAGGATCTAGTCACTTTGCATCTGGCCTCATTTCTAGGCAGGCTGACACTTCACATGAGAAGACTAACAGCCAGATCCACACACAGCAGCTAGAGGAGTGGCTGCATCCTGCTCTCCTGTGGCCACATGACTACTATTGTATGAGGCACTCGGAAAGCACCCACAGATATTTAAATCTGAAAATTGGGAAATAACTATTATAACAATTCTAAACCTATCATGGATTAACTTGTAATGTTGGCTAAGTCACAGTATAATATATGATCACATAGCTCTCTCACAATAAATAAAGATACTTTGATCTTTGTCCTCAAAACCACAATTATCATATTCCTATGACTCACTTATAGTAAAACGAAGCACTCACATCAACTTGCTATGATAGTTGTTAAGACCTACTTTCTTAAAGATGGATTTCTACTCTGAATGTTAACCATATTTGATTTCATCATCTGTTCCCGTTGATATACTCAGGAGGGCCGGAGGACGGTCTACAGAAAAGCATCAATCAGAGGAGGAGTCCTGAATCAGAAGATTCCTGCAGTCACATCACAACCACAGCCTGGCGACGCCACATCGACATGCCTTGTCAGAAACCAGTCAGAAGGGAAGGGAGGTCTGGCATATGCGGTAATTTAAGGCAGAGCACCATTGGACTCCCCTACGAATCATCGATTCGGCCAGTGTCAGAGAAGGAAAGCAGAAACTGGACTAGCCCATCGGCGCAACATGGCAGGTGCTGTATCACCAAAGGAAGATGCCCCGGTACCTGTTGGGGCCTTGGTGTCAGCTTTCTTGCTCTCCCGGCTCCCCTTCTGGGCCCACACGTACACCGTGTACTCCACACCTGGCCTCAGGCCCGTCAGCACCGTGCTGCTCTGATCCTTCCTCACAGGCACCTCCTTGGTCTCTCCATCGGCAGACGTGTAGCGCACCATGTACCTGTCAATGGCGGCCTGCACGGTGTCCCAGGAGACCGAGGCCGTGTTTTCTGTCACCCTGTCTGTCACCAGGTTCTTGGGGCTGTCAATATCTGGAAGAAAATCATTAATTGTGAACACTAATAACAGGCACCAAAGCATCAGCTCTTGTGTCAGTTACACTGGGGGCACTACCATTTTCTGTTCTTAGGGTTTCCCCATTTTATAGGCTCCTATTGACATTTGTTTGTTTCACGATTACAGACCTTGTCTTCACAACCAGATTCTTGACTTCTAAAGGCAGCCACATAGAAGAGACTGAGCCCTGTAGCTAATGACAGAAGAGCTGATATTAGTCTCAGCCCGGAGTGGCAGAGCAGAGGGATAGGAGGAGTCCTAAGCAGGAGGCAGGGTACCAGGATCTAGTCCCAACTCTGCCGCCAGCCAGCTGTGACCCTCAACAGCTCAGCCGCTTGTAGTTGGGCCTGTGTCCTCATTTGCAAAATGCAAAACTTATATAGATTTTGATATCATAATATTTCATGGCTATTCCATGAGACGAATTCTATAGCATATTTGCTAACTTTGTGCCCTTATCAAAATCACTCACTTCCCTTTATTTAAGATTTCTCAGCTAAAAAGTAGGACATTGATCCCAGCTCTCCCCATCTTGAGACCAACTCCTTTGTGGACCAAGTAAAGGAGGAAAGAGCCCTCACTCACTGCTGGAGCAATGCAGAGTGGTGCCGCTGTTTGATAAACAGTTTGGCAGTTCCTCAAAACATTAAACCTAAGTTCCCATAACATCCTATGATTCTACTCTCAGGTGTAAGACCAAGAGAAATGAATGCAAACACCCCATAAAAAGATGCATACAAATATTCAAGACAGATTGTTCATGATAGCTACAGAGTAGAAATGAGGCAAATGTCCATCAACTGATGGATGGAGAAGTGAAAGGTGGTGGAGCCTGACAATGATATGCCATCTGGCCAGGAAGCAGAGTAAGGTACTGCCACGCCCTGCAAGATGGTGAGACCTTCAACATAATAAGCTAAGTGAAAAACGTCAATCACAAAGGGCCATGTGTTGTCTGATTCCATTTTTATAGCCACAACTGACAACTATATAGACACTCAACTGTCACTTTGTCCTACTGTGTTGGCCGCGTGTGGCTGTGCGACTGGAATGTATAAAGAACCAGCAGGGTTGCCTGTCGTGAACAGACTGCAATGGAGCTTTCAGAATAAGACAGACTATAAAGAACGAACAGGCAGACCACTTCTAAAAGGATAGCCAATGGGAACTTTAGGATTACCAGGAGAACCCTGTCTGATAGAGTGCCGGGAGATAAGCCCCTCTGCTTGGAAGGCACTCTAAGTGTACCTAGAGAAGAGCTGACTTCTCAGAGTTGATCCAAATGACGCGGAAGAAACAAAGCTTCCTTGACACTCATTTGAGGAAAGGGAACAACTCAAAATGAGAAGAAACAGTTGCAGACATCATTAATAAGTGGAATGTGGAATGTACTAAAGTATCAACCTAGGAATATTGAAGTCTTCTAAAATGAAATGATATTCTAGGCATTAGTGGCCATTTGGGATCAGATAATCTTATATTTTATTGGTAAAGAGAAATGGCATCATATTCATCTTCAAAAAGAATACTTCAAGATCTTGAAGTGCAATAATCTTTGATAGAACAACATCCACATGCTACAAGGAAGACCAGTTTTGTGATTATTATTCAAATTAACAATCAACTACAGTAGCCAATGGTGAAGATATTTAAGCATTCTATCATCTTGCAACATTTGCAAAAAACAAGGAGCCAAGATTGATGGAACACCAAATGAAACATTTCAACACGTTGACAGGCACTTGAAGCACTCACTCATCTATGCCAAGACATTTGGAAGACAGCTACCTGGTCAACTGGTTGGAAGAGATCCATATCTGTGTCCATTCCAAATAAAGGTGACCCAACAGGATTTGGAAATTATCTAATGATGTCATTCATTTCATATGCAAGTAACATTTTTCTGAAGATAATTCAAAAATGATTGCAGCAGTACATTAACAGAGAGCTGCCAAAAATCCAAGCCAAATTCAGAAGACATGAGACAAGGGATATCATTTCTTACATCAAATGTATCTTAACTGAAAGCAGTGAATACCAGGAAGACGTTCACTTGTGTTTTCACTGATTGTGCTCAGGCATTACGCTAGGTGCATCGTAACAAACGATGAACAACATTGAGAAGAACGAGAGTTCCAGAGCATCACATGGTCTCATGTGGCATCTGTTCCCAGAGGCAGTTGTGCAAATAGAACAAGGAATGCTGCCTGTTTAAAACTAAGGGAAAATGTTCTTCAGAGGTTTATCCTCTCATCATAATTATCCAATCTTTATGGTGAGCAAATAGTCCAGGAAACTGGACTCCTTGAAGAAGAACGTGGCATCGGGATTGGAGGCACATGCAGATGACACAACCTCGCTCACTGCAAATGAGGAAGACTTGAAGCATTCACTGATGAAACGCTAAGCCGGCAGCAACCTGCAGTATGGGTTGGAGCTGTGTGAAGAAAACCAAAATCCTCACAACTGTCGTGATGGGTGACATCATGACAAATGGAGAGAGGATTGAGTGATCAAGGATTTTGTATTATTTGGATCCATTGTTGCTCATAGTAGCAACACTCTAGAAATCAAATGACTATTGAACTGGGCCATATTGATCTGCTGCACAAGACCTCTTTAAAGTGTTGAAGAGCAAGGATGGTAGTTTAAGGACTTGGGTGTGCCTGACCCAAGCCATGGTATTTTCAACTGCCTGGGAAAGCCATATAAGGAAGACTGAAGAAGAATTGATGCATTTGAATTATGTTGGGGGAAAATATTAAAAGTTCTGTGGATTTTCAAAAGAACAAATCTGTCTTGGAAGAAGCACAGCCAGAATGCTCCTCAGAAGCAAAAATGGCCAGTCTTGTCTCGTGTACTTTGAACATGTTATCAGGAGAGACAGTCCCTGTAAAAGCACATCAGGTTTAGTAAAGTAGAGGCTCAACGAAACAGAGGCAGATTCTCGACATGATAGCTGGACCACATGACTGCAAGAATAGACAATAATTGTGAGGATGGTGCAGGACCAGGCTTGTGTTATTCTACATAGTATTTCTGTGAATCAGAACTGACTCAACAGCATTTGATGACAACTACTGCTACTGCTAACATCGTCAGTCTGAAGTTGATCAAACATGCAGTCAAAGTGCATTGGTGATTACTGGTGATTGAAATAGAAAGTTAGGAACAAATTGGAAAACCTGAGCTTGGCAATAGAAACAGTGACAATGACATGACAGTTTTTGTTTGGTTGGTTTTTTTTAAGTTTTATTGGCATATAATTCACAAAGCATACAATTCAATAGTTCACTCATTGTAAGAAGAGCTGTGCAGTCATCACCACAATCAATTTTAGAAAACTTTCTTCTTTCTTGAACTCACTGTTATCAGCTCCCCATTTCCCCACAAGCTCCCCTGCCATTCCCCCAAGAAACCATTAATCCAGTTACTGTCTTTATAGATTTGCCTATCCTGGATTTCATATACAGAAAACATATCAAATCAACAACAACAACAAAGTAACACAGAAGATGAGGGTGCAGGAAGCATCCAAAGGAGACAGAAGGCATACACAGAGTCACTATACCAAAGACTTGTCAAGATTCAGACATGCTAAGGGTATCATATGATCAGTAGCCAATGGCACTGAAAGAAGTAGTACATGCTGCACTGGGGGCATTGTTGAAAAATCAAGATTTCAAGAATTGACAGATTACCAATTGAAATATTTCAACAAACTGATGCCATGCAGGAAGCACTCACTAGTCAATACCAAGAAAGTTGGAAGACCAAATTTCTGGCCAAACAACAGAAAGATATGCATATTTGTACCCACTCAGAAGAAAGATGAACCAACAGAGTATGGAAGTTATCAAACATATCATTAGTATTACATGCAAGGAAGGTTATGTTGCAGATCATTGAACAACTGTGGCAGTATTACGTCAACAGGGAACAACCAAATTTAGAAGATGATGTGGAACCAGGTCTATCATTGCTAATGTCGGATAGATCTAGGCTGAAAGCAGCAAATACTAGAAAAATATTTGTTTGTTTTATTGACTATGCAAAGACACACATACTTTGGGCATTTCTCAGGAGAGATCATTACCTGGAAAAGGGAAAGTCAAAAACGAGGAAGAAAGTCAAGGAGATGGATTAACATAGTGGCTGCCTCAATGAGCTCAAACATAACAACACTTGTGAGGATGGTGCAGTGATCTATTGTGTTGTGCACAAGGTTGCTATGAGTTGGAGCCAACATGAGAGCACCTAGCAACAGCCCTGTGGGGACCACAACCAACTATGGCTAGCGCTGAAAAGAATGGGGATTCCAGAACACTGCCTTGGGCTCGTGCAGAACCTGTACATGGCTCAAAGGCAGTCTTTTGAACAGAACAAGAGAATATGCATGGTTTCAAATCAAGGTGTGCATCAGTTGTATCTTCTCACCATACTTATTCGATTTGTCTGCCAAGCAAATATAAGAAACTTAACTGTATAAAGAAGAATCAGGTATCAAGATTGGAGGAAGGCTCATTAATGATCACTATGCAGATGACAGGGCCTGGTTTCTGAGAGCAAAGATGATCGGAAGAACTTTCTGGGGAAGATGAAAGACAGCTACCTGTCGTGTGGACTGCAACTCAATGTAAAGAAACCAGCATCCTCACAACTGGTCTAGTAGTCGACGTCATAGTGAACACAAAAAGACTGAAGTTTCCAAGTATTTCATTTTACCTAAATCCACAATCAATCCTCATGGAAGCAGTAGTCAAGAAATACACACGTACTGCATTGGATATATCTACTGCAAAAGACTCCTTGAAAGTGTTAAACAGCTCTAATTTTAAGATGTGCCCGACTCAAGTATTTTCAATTGCCTCGTGTACCTGTAAGCTAGCATCGGGAAGAATGGAGACGGAAGAATTTAAATTACGGTACTGGTGAAGAATCCTGACGACACCATGGAGTACCAGAGAGCAAACAAGTCTCTCTTGGAAGCACAGCCAGAAGGTTTCTTAGAACTGAGATGGCAAGACTTCGTTTCATAGACTTTGGACATGTTATCCGGAGGGACCGATCCCTGGAACCGAAGACCTGGCTTGGTAAAGGAGAGGGTCAGAGGAAAGGGGAGACAGACCCTCGAGGAGATGGACTGACCCCGTGGCTGTAACCATGTGCAGGGCCAGGCAATGCTTCACTCTGTTGAACATAGGGTTGCTATGAGTTGAATCCAACTTGATGGCTCCTAATAACAATATAAAGACAGAAAGAATTGGGCTCCCAGAGGCTGGGGAGTTGGTTGTAATCAAGTAGTACTAATGGACATGAGATTTCTGTTTAGGATGAGGAGATGTTTTCAAATTCCTATTGATGGTTAAATGCTACTCTGAATAGGCAGAACCACTGGATTGTGCACGTCAATAGAGGTAAGTTATATCCCAATAAAGTTATTAAAAATGGGAAAGCAGATATGAAAGTTTTAATCATTATGAACTATTAGTGTATATAAGTCAAGCCTGAATCATCAATACAGAGAGCATAGTAGGTCATCAAGGAAGGATTTATTCCCTGAAAAGGAATAGCCTCTCCTTGCTCTAAAGCGTTCACAGAGGCAGTTCTCTAACGCACTTAGCTCACCATCCCAACACATACGCTCTCTAAATGTGCGCTCCGTTTCCAGAAGAAACATTCAGTGATTGATGGCGAAGGAAATGCACAATTGTTGGAAAAGTAGTTGAATGTGACCAATCACCATTAATCTTTACAAGATCAAGTATGAGGTCAAATAAGAGGTTCTTACTTTGAGAGACAGTATTAAGGAGAAGTGAGGGATGGTGGGTGAAGGATGTCAGAGGCTTACTATCTTGCTCCTCCATAAATCATGAACTCTGCCAGTGTCAGAGAAGGAAAGCAGAAACTGGACTAACCTATCAGCACAACATGGCAGGTGTTGTATCACCAAAAGAAGATGCCCCAGTACCTGTTGGGGCCTTGGTGTCGGCTTTCTTGCTCTCCTGGCTCCCCTTCTGGGCCCACACGTGCACCGTGTACTCCACACCTGGCCTCAGGCCCGTCAGCACCGTGCTGCTCTGATCCTTCCCCACGGGCACCTCCTTGGTCTCTCCATCAGCAGACGTGTAGCGCACCATGTACCTGTCAATGGCGGCCTGCACGGGGTCCCAGGAGACCGAGGCCGTGTTCTCTGTCACCCTGTCTGTCACCAGGTTCTTGGGGCTGTCAATGTCTGGAAGGAAAGTGTTAAATAATAAACACTATTAACAGGCGCCAAAGAGTTAGGTCTTGTATCAATTTCACTGGGGCTATGACCATTTCCTGCTCTTGCTGTCTCCCTGTATTATTCTAGGTACTTTAGAGAAACAAATCCACAGCAACTCATGTATAAGAGTTTTAGGTAAAGAAAGTGTGCATCACAAAAACATCCCAACCCAATGCTGCCCAAGCCCAAAGTCCAACATTAACCCATTACCCAACACCAGTCCACAAAGTCCTCCACCTCACAAAACAGAGACAATGATGCCGACTGCAGGAGGAAAGCTGAGTCAGTGAACGTGTAAGCATCTCAGCACTAGCAGGGGTCTCCACACGGCTGCTCCAGCACCCAGGGCTGCATCGGCGTAGGTCCATGTGGCTTCTCCTTGGGGATGAAGCAGGGAACTGCTAAGGCAGCTGCACCCTGGTGCGACCATCACAAAGCAAGAGAACTGAGAACTAGAAAGGCGATGCTCACCACTCATTTATCCCTCTGCCTTTCAATTAGCCCCACATGTGTTTATCGGCCAGGTTGGCACAATTAACTAACTCACTCCCCATCTCATGTGCTCTGCTCTTCGCAGCTGGACTCTTGGATCCTTTTGGAGCCAGTTCAGGAAAAGAGCATGAACATTAGCTCTAGAGGCAGAAGAGCTGTTTCTAATTCCAGCCCACAGAGGTAGAACAGAGGGCCAAGAGGAGCCATGGGCAAGAACAAGGATCTAGTCCTAACTCTGCAGCCAGCCAGCTGCGGCCCTGGACAGCTCAGCTGCCTCTAGGTGGGGCTCTGTTTGCTCATCTGTAAAACATGGAGATCAGACTGGTTGGGATTCAAGTTTTCTGTCAGTTTTCCAATTTAATAAAGAAAACTTATTTTGTAAGCTTGGACAAGTCACTTCACCTCTCTGTGTTTGAGTTTCTTACATCTAAAATAAGGTGACCAGATGTCCCACTTTAAACAATTTTTCCTGCGTCCCGGAGCATTTTTAAAAAGTCCCGATTTTTGGAAAGAATGCACAACAAGCTAGGATATACGGTTTTCAACTGCCATGTGGCTATTTTGCCAAGATATGAGTTTTATCAATGGTGTCCCGCTTTACCAATGTTAAAATATGGTCACCTTAATCTAAAATGGAGTTTTTAATAGACATTTTATATATCTCTTTGGGTTGCTCTGAAAACCAAGACAAAATATCACATGAAAAAGGACTTTGAGAATGTTAAGGCATTTTGATATTTGCAAAGCGTAACCCACCTGCATATTTCAATAGTCAATCTACATTTCAAAATACCAAGGGCAAATTAACCTCTTGATCTCCATCACCTTCATACCAGCTCCAACCCCTCCCCCAACCCCACCCACTCACACAAAAAGGAGAGTAAACAATAGTAGGACAAGTCTATCTTGCAGAGTTGCTATGAATTTCACATGAGTCAATACCACATAAAGCCCATACAACAGTCCCTGCACAGAACAGATGCCCCATGGCCGTGATGCACATTGTTAATGAGAACGTTTTTGTTGTTTTCACGTGCAAGATTATGCTTCTGAGCACATATAAGTTTCTCAAAACTGTATTCGTCAAGAAAATAACACTTCTCTGCTATTTTCTGTTACAAGAAAATAACACTTCTCTGTAGTTCATACAAAAGCCATTTCCCTAAAGTAATGTACTCACAGATCCTATCACCAACATGAGATGATATGTTATGTCAGACTATTTTTCTCTCGGTTCTGGCTGCAATGATTATATTCAAACATGAGGATCAACAATCAAGACAGGTCCAACAGTTCTATGACCCTTGGCTGACCAAAAATCTCTTATAAAAGCAGATGGAGGGACCAACGATGTTAGACTCAAAGCACAAATACCTGGTTTCCACAAGATCACTTACAGAGCTTATTATAGTACAAAAGGGCTCATCAAAAAGCACTGATACAAAATCATAGGAATCTTTATTAAACAAAAGTATGAAAGTTATATGTTACTGTTTCCTTTAACAACCTCCATCAGGGTCCATACACTTCTCAAGGCAGCATTTCTATCTCTTTACCCTTTCCCTAAAAATTCTACAGGCTTCAATTTACAGCATGACAAAACAGCAGCTTCGGCATTCTCTGTGGACTCAAATTGCATTTTTTTCCAATGCTCTTGAGTCTGGGGATCAAAAAGAAGTCTCAAGGAGCAAGGTCAGCATTGTAGGATGGATGGGGTAAGGTTTCCCAGTGAAATTATCACAGAACAGCCCTTTCTGCCCTCAGAGAATGAGGAGGTGCATTGTCATGACCAACAAAAAAAAAATCCCTTGGCACAACTCTCTTGGTCTTTCTCTCACTAATGCAGTTTTCAATTTTCTTAAAACTTCTAATAAGTCCCTGTAATCCTCTTGTGTCTTTTGATAAAATCCATCAAGGTAACCTCTTTGGGGTTCCTTTGGGGTTCCCCAAAGCAGTGGCCATAAGCTTCTGAGCTGACTTCTCTGTCTTGAATTTAACAGATCCCCTCAGACCCTACCGCTTGGATTGGGCCTTTGGCGAAGTACTGCAACTAGAATCAAACAAGTACAGCAGCCGTCCACTGATGGCAGAGGCAGAGTTAAGTACGTTGTGTTTGGAATAAGCCCATGCATGTACGGACTGCAACTCCAGGAGCAATACTTTCTTTACTTACCTTGTACATACCCTAAGGAGACCCGGTGACATAGTGCTTATGTGTTGGAGTGCTAATCAAAAGATCGGCTGTTTGAAACCATCAGCTGCTCCAAGGGAGAAAGATGGGGTTTTCTACTCCATCTAAAGAGTTAGTCTTACAGGAGTGAGGAGGCAGCAGAAAAGGTAAGGGGGAGCCAACAAACCCAGGGACAAGGGAACGAGAGATCTAAAATCGATGGCAAGGACATAGAATGCCTGGTGGGGTTCGATCAAGTGCAATGTAGCAGAGAGGAAGTACAGAGAGCCAAATGAAGGTTGAACATGATAGTGGAACAGGAGGAAAGTAAACGGAAACAGAGGAAAGAACTAGGAGGCAAAAAACATTTATAGAGGTATAAACATAGGTATGTACATATGTAAATATATTAATATATAATGATAGGGATATAGGTGTATGTATATACTTATAAGTTTAGTATTAAAGTATCAGAAGGACATTGGGCCTCTATTCAAGTCCTCCCTCAGCACAAGAACACTTTGTTCTAATAACCTGGCATTCTGTGATGCTCACGGTTGCTGAGGACAAAATGGGTGCATAAGCTAATGTGGTGAAGAAAGCTGATGGTGCCTGGCTATGACAAGATATAACATCTGCAGTTTTAAAGGATTGAAGGTAAATAAGTGGCCATCTGGCAGGGAAACAACAAAACTCATATGGAAGAGCACACCAACCCGTGTATCATGAGGTGTTGATGGGATCAGGTATCTGGCATCAGACCCAAAACAAACAGCCATTTTGATGTGAACAAGGTGGGTCGGAATGGAGACCCAAAGCCCATCTGTAGACAATTGGACATCCCCTCACAGAAGGGTCACAAAAAAAGAATGAGACAGCCAGGGTGCAGTATAGCACCAACGAAACACACAACAATCCTCTAGTTCTTTAATGCTTCCTCTCCTCAACTGTCATGACCCCAGTTCTACCTTACAAATATGGCTATCCAGAGCATGTATGTACACTGGTACAGATAAGAATGCTCGACACAGAGAATCCAGGACAGATAAACCCCTCAGGACCAATAATGGGAGTAGCGATACCATGAGGGTGGGGGCAGGTGGGGGTAGAAGGGGAATGAACTGCAATGATCAATGCATCACCCGCCCCCACCCGCCTCCAAGAGGGGCAAGCAACAGAAACATGGGTGAAGGGAGACAGTGGATAGTGTAAAATATGAAAATTAAAATAATTTATAAATTATTAAGAGTTCATGGGGGTGGGAGGGGAAAAGAGAGGAGCTGGTACCAGGGGCTGGATTAGAAAAAAATGTTTTGAAAATGATGATGACAACATTTGTACAAATATGCATGATACAATTTGATTGTTATAAGAGCTGTAAGAGCCCCCAACAAAATGATCTTTTTTTTTAAAAAAAAAAGGAGTCTTAGAAAGACAGAAGGGCAGTTCTACCCTGTCCTACAGGGTCACCGTGAGTGGGAATCGATTCTATGACAGTAGTTCGGTTTTTCTTCTTGTACACACCCTAGGACAGTGAGTCTGCCGGAGTGCTTGACTCTCACAATGGGGCAGCAGTTACTGGCATCAAGTAGGCAAAGGCTTGTGAGGCAGCTCCAAGTCTATAAAGCTCTGGACACCCTCCACTCCAAAGAACTATTTGACCTTAACATCAAGAGGATGGTGGTTTAGAAACCCTGTCCTAGAACTTACGGACCATAGTGGGCTAGTCAGACACCTGCCCAAAGATCTAAGAGGCAAGGAGCTAGATGGCTGTGTTGAGAGGATGCAGCTTTACAGAAAACCTGTACTGTACATCTGGTTGAGTGAGCAAAGGATGCACAAGCTTTCTCGTGGGCCAGGTGTGGGCTGTTTCAGAAGCTAGACAAGAGGATCCCCTGCAAGGGTAGGGTGAAGCCATTGGATAAAGCTGGGGAGCGAAAGAGTAAGGGGAAAGATGCATTTTCCCATGGGACAACTGCAGTGAGATCCCAGGAGAGGCGTCTCACAAAAACCCACAGACGTGCCCTACAAGAGAAAGAGACAGCCTTGACTCTTAAAACCAAGTCAGAAAGACCTCCCATAACACTTGGCTTCCCTCATCTCCGACCCCTTTCCTCTCTTCCCTCCTGACCACTTGACTCTCCTCCTTTCCAGCTTCACCAAACATAAACCGGTCAAAAACTACAGTTAGCATGTGGAGAGAACAGGGTCTGAGGTACAAGAATGGAAATGCAAGAGAAGCTAAGTAGGTCCCCCTTCCAGCAGTTTTCCTTCAAAGGGGCGACACCTTCTCTTTAAGTGTACTATGTTCATGGAAATGGGCACTTTAATTGTTAAAATGACGCATTTTGGTGAGCAGCAGTAACTAGTCATTGTCTGAAATGTTTATAAAATGAATCAAACTAGCTCGACAGGAAGGGTTGACTTAGGCCAAAAGGAAGAACACGATGTTTTGGAATCCCAGTTCACCAGCCTGCCTCCTTCAGCGAATGCTACCGTGCACTCTTCACGTGCTCCCTGAACAAGGTGAAGCATTCGTGTATTAATGACAAAGGAGAGGCGGGCAGAGGGAAAGCGGGGGACTACGAACAATAATCCATCTTTAAAGACCAAAGCGTGGAAACCACAATATGAGAGAGATGCTAATTTTAAGAGAAGTGAGGAAGTGAGAGGTGTACAATTGACTATGGAGGAACACCAACTTGTTCATAAAATCTCCCTTTCAGCCCAGGTCAGGGAAGGAAAACCAAGCTAGCCAAATCTTCAGTCTAGCAATAGCACATGGTGAGGGTGCTCCAGTTACCTGTTGGGGCCTTGGTGTCGGCTTTCTTGCTCTCCCGGCTCCCCTTCTGGGCCCACACGTACACCTTGTATTCCACGCCTGGCCTCAGGCCCGTCAGCACCGTGCTGCTCTGATCCTTCCCCACGGGCACCTCCTTGGTCTCTCCATCGGCAGACGTGTAGCGCACCATGTACCTGTCGATGGCGGCCTGCACGGGGTCCCAGGAGACGGTGGCCGTGTTCTCTGTCACCCGATCCATCGCCAGATTTTTGGGGCTGTCAATTTCTTTAAGAAAAATGTTTGGCAAAGCCTAAATTTTGAAGCCATGAGCAATGCCCCCACACCCCACAATTGTCATCTTCATGTCCCAGGGCTCTCTGGGAACAAAGAAATGGTATACCCATCTGGGGCTCAGACAGGAGTGTGCAGGGGGTGGGTCAGAGGGAACAAGTAAGCTCTGGTTCTAGGTTTCAAGGTTCTAGACACTATAGAGTTGGAATGCTGTCTGAGCTTATAGCTCCTTGAAGGATGGGAGGAACTATACCTCCTGAGCCAGACTGTGGCATATTGAAACCACCACTTCAACCACGTTCCCAGTGCTGCTCTTCAGCACCGAATGTATAGGGACTTATCATTTTAGCAAGGGCTAGGCTTCCTGATGAGAAGTTTTAACATATTATCAAATCTGCGTGCAGACGTGTATGCAGCTTTATTCATAATTGGCAACAAACACTGGAAGATACCAAATATATTCTTCAAAAAGAGAATGGATAAACAAACTGGAATGCAGCCGTACAACAGATGATGATTCAACAATGAAACTGAATGATTCATCAAGTCACAGAAAGACATGGAGGCACCTGCAACACACACTTTAAAGTGAAAGAAATCACTCTGAACAGGTTAGATATTGTACGGATCCCATTGGATGACATTCTGGAAAAAACAAAACTATCGAGACACTGGAAAGATCAGTTGTGGTCAGGAGCCCAGGGGAGTGGGAGAGGAGTGAGTAGGGGGAGCACTAGACATTTTAAGGCAATGACACCCTTCTGCAGGACAATGGTGGACACAAGACATTGACCACTTGTCAAAACCCAAACTGTACAACACAGAAGGAGTCCTGATGAAAATTAGGTTATAAATAATGAGTCAATACTGGTTCATCGATTGCACCAAATGTACCATCCCAATGCACGATGTTAATGATAGGCAAATCTGTGTACACAGGGGTGGTGTGAGAGTATGAAAACTCTGTGCTCTGTGCACAATTTTTCTATAAACTTACCTCTTCTACAAATAGTCCAACATGAAAATGTTCACAAGCAATGGAATGATCAGATCTTTTCACCATCTTTGACTGGTCTGATGAGCACAAGACTATCGCCCCTTCTCTCTCTCTTTGTTGAGCAGCTTCAGCGAGAAGCAGTCTCCTGTGAACCCACTTGAGCTCCTTGTCTTTCTTTGATCTTTAAAGCTTCTAACTACGGTGTTTCTCAGCTCAGGCCCCCATATTGTGGTGCCACGCCCACCCAAACCCACAGGCTCAGAGTCCATTTCCGATTTATCCTCCCTCAGGGACTAAGACAGTTACCCATCCTCATCTCTTCTTACCTGTTGGGGCCTCGGTGTCAGCTTTCTTGCTCTCCCGGCTCCCCTTCTGGGCCCACACATACACCTTGTACTCCACGCCTGGCCTCAGGCCCGTCAGCACCGTGCTGCTCTGATCCTTCCCCACAGGCACCTCCTTGGTCTCTCCATCGACAGACGTGTAGCGCACCATGTACCTGTCGATGGCGGCCTGCACGGGGTCCCAGGAGACCGAGGCTGTGTTCTCTGTCACCCTGTCTGTCACCAGGTTTGCTGGGCTGTCGAGTTCTTTAGGAGAGATGAAAGAAGCATAGATTATTACCAGTGTCTAATTCCTGAAAGGAGTCTCAAGGTCGTGTAAAGGACTGACACATTTGACTGTGAGCCAAAAGGTTGGAGAATCTTCCCAGAAGGACCTTGGATGGCACATCTGGCAATGAGCTTCTGAGAAATCAGCTATGGAAAGCCCTGTGGGGCACAGGTCTACTCTGACACACCTGGGGTCACTGTGAGCCCAAATCAACAGCACCTGAAAGGACAACAACAACAACAACCCAATATCAGAGCTGCTAAATGCCAGTGATTAAAATAACTCAAGTTTAATGAAGGAACCCAAATTCACTGCTGCCGAGCCGACGCTGAGTCATAGTGACCCTATAAGACACAGTAGAAGTGTACCTTTGGGTTTCTGAGACTGAAATCTTTACAGGAGCATAGAATCTCATCTTTCTCCTGTGGAGCGGCTGGGGGGATTGAACCACTGACCTTGCTGTTTCCAGTTCAATGCATAACCCACTGTGCCACCAGGGCTCCTTTTAATTAAGGAAGTTGTCTAAATTTCCACTAATACACTAATAGCATTTAATGAGAGAAGGGCTTTCAAGGGGGTTTTCACCTCTATCAACTTTTCCCACCAGCTGCCTTTACTGAAAAGGATTGGGTCTTCATATGTAAATTCCTTCTTTGCCTTGGATTTATGTATTATACTCTCAGTTCCTGACTCCTTGAGCCTCAAAGCAATTAAATTTCAATGAATTTCTACATCTGCTTTAATAAGTTCTTTGGTAAGAAACATACCTTGAAGAAGAATCTGCCAATTCTCTTCCTTTAAAACAGTATTACGTCTGTGGCCAGGGAACCAAGATGCTTTCAAATTGAAGGCATTGGGGAAAAAAATGAGGAGCTGATACCAAGGGCTCAAGCAGAAAGCAAGTGTTTTGAGAATGATGATGGCAACAAATGTACACGTGTGCTTGACACAATGGATGGATGTATGGATTGTGATAAGAGTTGTTTGAGCCCCCGATAAAATGATTTTTTAAAAATTAAACACGCAAAGCCCATGGAAAATATGAATAAGAAAATAAATGGCTACATTAGCCCAATATTCTGATATTAAAAATAAATGGATGGTATTTGGGGTCTGGATGGATCAAAATAATCACCCTGATCAAACGTGCCAGACTTTCTGTGTCCTTATACTGGGTAACATCTGAACTCCAAAATTTCTTGATTGGTGGACAATCAATACAATTTAAGTTTTAGTTTTCTCAACCCTAAAAAAAAATTTTTTCCTACCTCCTAGGTTATGGCAAATAGTAAATGAGATTGTATGGTAATGCTTCACTAGGAATGGTTTGTAATTATTAACAATTTGAGATATGAAATGCCATTTTCTCCTTGAAATCTAAACCCAGAGAAGTGAAAAATCCAAGTCTTGGAGTATATAATTGTTGTTTACTATTATTGTTGATAAGATGCCTATTGTGGCAGTTAAATAATATCCTGTCAACTTGAGCAAAGGGGTGGAGTATAGCCTGTCAATCAGGTCACAGCTTGATTTCCTCATTTGGAGGTGCAACAGAGATAAATAGCTCAGTGGGAGATCAGACCCAGTCTCTGCCTTCCGTTACGGCTGTTGAGACACTCAGAGAGCTGGAGGAGACATGTAGAGACCCATGCCAGCCCTGAGATGCTTCCACTGCCACTGGATCCACAAGACCTTCTACCCACTGGCCTGAGATCTTCCTGTATTCAGCATCATTGCATGTGTTGTATGAGGAATTTGTGGATTAGTATAAAATATATGGGCTAATATCGGACTTATGGACTTGATCTGAACTGGGATGTTTTCTCAACATACAATTGCTCTTTTTTTTAAAATCACTTTATTGGGGGCTTGTACAATTCCCATCACAATCCATACATATATCCATTGTGTCAAACACATATGTACATTTGTTTCCAACAATTGCTCTTTTATATAAAGCTCTTTCTTATACACATATGAGTGTCTGAACTTGTTTCTCTAGTCAACACACCTATTAACCTGTTTCAAAACCCTCCTCCACAAAAGGTTGACCCTCTGTTATAGCATTTGCATTTCAAACCTACTCCTTGTCACTTTCCAAAAATGACTATATGGTTGTCTCATACAGTGGAAGACACTGCGTAGCCAAGGGCAGTAGCTGGCCTTACGGGCACTGTGTTCAGAAAGCACCTCAGACAGCTGACAAACAAGAACAAAACAATTGCGCTCCTGGGAGTCTGTCAGTGTTGGGGATGAAACTATGGCCCTGAAAACATGCAGTTAAGTGTCGGCCTGAGATTGTATACCTGAGAATGTGGTCCTGGTTGATAAAGTCACCAGAGTAGGCTGGGTCCTAGACCTAATGACTTCTGAGTTCTAAAAAGAGTTAACTAGACACAGAGGTACATAGAAGGAAGAAAATGTCACACGAGAGCTTGTCTACAAGAAAAGAATTGGCAAGGATGGTTGGTAGCCACCAGAAATTAGGGGAGAAATCCATAGACAGAACCAACATGGCCAAGACCCTGATTTGGACTTTTAGCTTCCAAAGTGAAATAATGCATTTCAGTTCTTCAAGGGCACCCTTTGGGGCATCTCTGTTATGGCAGCACTAGGCCACTCAGATAGCTGCCTTGACCACTCCTTTCACTACTCCACCACTTCAGCAACCATCCACCATCAAGACCACAGAACATTCCCTGATTTGTCCTACTCTCACCAACGCATATGCCACTGATGTGGACTCCCACCCACCCGTCCTCTGAGGCTCTGTACAGGTGACCCCTCCCCAGAATGTCCTGCTGCTTCCCTTTTCCCATCCCAGGTTGAGGTCTCACTGCCATTGAATCAATGCCGACTCAGAGTCGCCCTATAGGAAAGGGTAGAACTGCCCTGTGGGTTTCCAAGACTGTAAATCTTTACAGCAGTAAAAAGTCCTGTACTCTTCCCTTGGAGTGGCTCGTGGTTTCAAACTGCTGACCTTGTGGTTAACAGCCCAACACATCATCAGTACACCACCAGGTAGAGGTAGGTATCTTTTCTCAGGTTCCCACAGCACCACGGGCATTTCTCACCCTGGAGGAACTCACTGTACTCTATCTTCTTACTGACCTTCTCAACCTGGAGGGCTGTGAACTTCAAGTAGGCAAACACTATGCTCTCCATTTTCCAGTCCCCAGACCTCTGCTTAGTGCTCAATGCCCCAGTAATATCACCACTCAATGGCTTTCCATATACTGGGGTCGTACACCACTCTTCCCTTAGAGAGGAGAAGGTTCCTCTCCATTCCAACTTCTTATCAGGGGGAAAAACATCTTTCTCTGAAACATTCACAGTCCTATTCTACAGAAAGCCATGTGTAATTTAAACTAGAAGTTGGCAATCTATGGACCATGGGCCAAATCTAACTCACTGCTTGCTTTATTTTCCAAATAAAGTTTTATTGGAACACAGTCACATCCTGTGAATTTGCATATTGCCTATGGCTGCTTTACACTTCAACAAGCAGCATTGAATAGTTGCAAAAGAACTTAATGGCCCATAAGAAGATAAATATTTACTACCTGGCTGTGGTAGTTATATAATCGTTTGTGAATTTGAGGATTAAGAGTGTAGGGGTGGAGTCTAGCCTGTCAATCAGATCATAGCCAATGAGGTTTCTGTGTGGGCATGGTTTTCTCCTGAGAATTCTGGGAAATCCTGTATTTTCTTCCTTGGAAGCGGGAGACACCTCTCTCAGCTCACTTCCTGCAAGACATCCCTGAGGAAAGCACATGGACCTACCCTGATACAGCCCTGGAGAAGCCACCTGGAGACCCCTGCCAGTGCTGAGATACTTACAGTGCCCCTGGATCCAAAGACTTTCTACCCACTGGCCTGTGATCGTCCTGCATTCGGCATCATTGCATGTGTTCCGTGAGTCTGAAGAGGACTTATAGATTGGTTTCAGACATATGGGATAATATCGGACTTATGGGCTTGGACTGGACTAGGTTGGGATGCTTTCTTAATGTACAATTACCCTTTATATCAAACTGTCTCTTACACACATATGAGTTCCTATGGATTTGTTTCTCTAGTCTACCCAGACTAAGACACTGGCCCTTTGCAGAAAGTTTATTGACCCTAATGTTGAACATAATCTAGGTTTTGCCGTCCTTACAGTTTCCTTCTTTGCCCCTCCCCTGGGGGAGGAGTCAGCTCTAAGGCCCATCTGGGTGATGGTATTCCACACAAGATTTCAAAAGCCAAATGTGAATAATAGTGTAATACATAATCATTGCTATTAGCACGGTGGCTAAGTGCTCACTTGCTAACCAAAAGGTTGGGTTTGAACCCAGCAGCCTCTCTGCTGAAGAGGTGACAGTCAGGGGCAGGGCGTGACCATCTGCTCCTAGAGAGATGTCAGCCTCGGGACCCTACGGGTGAGTGTACTCTGACCTGGAGGGTGGCTATGAATTGGAATGGACTCCGCGGCAACGGGTTGTTCCGCCTTCCTTTACTTCCTGTCAAGCACGCAGTCCCGCATTCAATTGTCCCGATGACTGGGAAGAGACATCGAGGTGTTCCATTGCACAGATAAGAAACTGGGGAACAGGTGAAGCAACCTGCCAGACGCCACTCAGCTAGTAACTGTGAAGGAACTGGGATTAAACCACTGCCCTCATAACTCCCCCAACTGCTTCGCTCAGAGTCTCTGTTCTCCCAGACTGTTCAGAACAGAATCCAAATGAGAAGGGATTTCTTTTCCTGTGATTTCTTGTCAAGATCCATCCCAAGAGGGCTTCAGCGTCCGGTTGTTCTGAACTATGGGACAGTGCCAAAGGCCAAAGGCGCCCTGGTGCTGGACTGCTAACCACAAGGTCAGCAGCTCAAACCCACCGGACACTCCACAGTCGAACGATGGCTCTCTGATCTTGTCGAGATTACTGTCTCAAAAGCCCTAGCTAGAGTGTCTATGAGTCAGGACAGACTCTACGGCAGTGAGTGGATTTGTCAATGGCAAAGTAGGGTTTAAGCAGAAAGAATGGCCAAGCTATCCCTTGGTGCCGCCTCAGCCGGCCCACAGGCCCGAGTGGAGCTGGGAACGAGGTGAAGCACGAGGAACCTGCGGGTTTCTGAAAGCTTTGAAGCAGACTCAGTACATTTGGTTAATGTTGACTCGGGATGCAAACCATTTCCACGGTCTGAAAGAGCCGCGGATGATATGTGACGCGCCCGTACGGCCACTGCATGCTGAGATAAGCATTCAAATTCACTGTCAGCCAAATGTTTTGAGTGTTCACATCCAAAAGTGAAAATTAGAAAGTATTCCTCTACTCTGAGGGAGTTGCATCTAGAATTCCAACCCAAATGAGTCTGACCATCCACGCTGAATAAGAAGTCTGGGGTTCACAATAAGATTCATAAGCAATTAGCCATTGCTTTTGCATCCCTCTCTCCTACCCTCTAAAAGGAAATGGAAAACGGATAATCTCAGGATCATCCTCACCACGAGGAAACCGATTTCGCTCTGGTTATTAATTCATTACCTGTGAGGGCCTCCGTGTCGCCTTTCTTGCTCTCCTGGTTGCCCCGCTCAGCCCAGACGTGCACTTTGTATGCCTGTCCTGGATTCAGGTCTGTCAGCACCGTGCTGCTCTGGTCCTTGGGCACCGCTGTCTCCTTGGCCGTCCCATCAGCAGAGGTGTAGCGCACCACGTACTTGTCTATGACGGCCTGCACTGGGTCCCAGGAGACGGCCGCTGTATCTTCCGTCACTCGATCCGTGACTACATTGGTTGGGCCATCAATCTCTTCATAAGAGTAGGTGAGGAAGAAAAATTAGACTACACATGCATGTTTGCAGTAGCTTTATTTATAGTTGCCCAAAATTGGAAGCAACCAAGGTGGCCTTCAGTAAGTGAGCAGATAAACACTTTGTGGGACATCCATACAATGAACTATTCTTACTCTGCAATAGGAAGAGATGGGCTTTCACGTTTGCACATGGCTGAGAAAGAAAGGAACCCCAGGGGGCTGTGGGCTAGGCAATGAGCTGCTGACACAAGGCAGCGATTCTATTCAAATGCGCACGCCACCCCATGGAAGAAGAGGAGGCTGTCCGCTTCTGTCAAGACTTCCGGTCTTGCAAAGCTGATGGAGGGTCTCCTGAGTCAGAACTGACTCTGGGGCAATGGGAATGTGAAAGCAGCTTATCCTATGGGATTCCAAGCATAGATAGTCTGGGAAAGCAAACTACAGAAAAGCAAAGGAGCAGAGGTTTCCAGAGGTTCTGGACAAGTGCAGCAGGGATGCGTGTAGGGAGCACAGAGCCTTCGAAGGGCAGAGAAACTGCTCTGTAGGATATCTGAATAGTGGACACGTGGCATTGTGCGTTTGTCAAACCCACAGGCCTGCACAACACAATGAGCAAACCTTCACGTGCACTGTGGGCTTCAGTCACTGGCAACGAATCACTAAGGGCTCCTTGGTTTTAATGCATGGATCACACACATCTGAGATGCATTGGAAGTATAAAGCCGTATTCAGGGGGCAGGGAGATACAAGGGAACTCTATTTTCTGCTGGACTTTCCTATAAACAAATAATATTTTTAACACTTTATTGGGAGCTTTTACAGACATTACAATCCATAGTTCCATTAGATCAGGCATGGTTATACAAGTGTTGCCATCATCATTTACAATCATTATCTTTTTTCTTGAACTCCTTGATATCAGCTCCCCTTTATCCCCTTCCTCCCCCACTTTACCATGCCCCTGGGCCCTTAATAAATTATTTTTTTCTGCCATACCTTACACCATCCAATGAACCCATTCACCTAAAATTGTGATGTCCACTCCCCTCCAGTGGGGTTATTTAGTCATCATTACTATCAGTTCTCCCTTCCCCCTTTCCCCTACCTCCCTTCCCCTACCCTCGGGGTATCATTATTACTCCTACTGCTGTTGCTGGTGGGTTTATCTCTCTTGGATTTCATGCACTGAGAGATCTTACTAGTACCGATGTGCATACACAGGTCTAGCAAGATTAGAGGGCTAACAGACCGTAATAGTGGGAGGAGGAGATTTTAAAGAACTAGAGGACAGTTATGTTTTTCATCATCACTCTACACACCCTGGATGTATCGACCCTTCTTTGTGGCCCTTCAATTATCATACAGGTGGGCTTTGGGGCTCCACTTTGCTTATGCTCCTTTATGTCAATTCAATTACTTGTTTTCAAACTTCTGGTACCTATCCCCATTGACACCTTGCTGGCGTGCTTCCTCCATGTGGGCTTTGTTGCTTCCCTGCTAGATGGCTGCTTTTTTTACTCCAAGCCCTTAAGACCCCAGACACTATATCATTTAATAGAGGGGCACCATCAGCTTTCTTCACCACATTTGCTTATGCACCCATTTTTCCTTCAGCAATTATGTCAGGAAGGTGAGTATCAAAGAGTGCCAGGTTATTAGAGCAAACCATTCATATACTGATGTAGGATTTACATAGAGGTCCAAAGTCCATCTGCTTCCTAGTTGTTTTAACATATATATTATATGTTAAATATATACACATACATATATATATAGATATATACATAGATAAATATGTGTACATATACATACATATATAAATACACCTATCTTTACATATTTATATATATACATATCTATATTTATACTTACCATATAAGCCAACCCAAATATCAGCCGAGGCACTTAATTTAACCACAAAAACTGCATTAAACGTGTGCTGAAAAACTCGGCTTATACACGAATATATACCACCGGTTCTGTGTATATGTAATTTTTGCTTCCTTGATGTTTCCTCTATTTCTTTTTTCTTTTCTCCTGCCCCACTATCATGTTCACTCTTCATTTGCCTCTCAGTAATTCCTCTCGGGTGTACCTCAGTTGATCAGACATCACCAGGGACCCTACACACTCCTCGCCATCGACTTTAGATCCCTTGTTATTTTCCTGTCCCTAATGTATTGGCTCACAGCTCCGCTCCCCCCATCTCCTCCTCTCCCACGCTCCCCTTGAAACTGTCGGTCCTGCTGCTGTCTCCTTGAGATTACTTGTCCTATTAAATAAAGTTTTAAATGCTTTTAAATTGTGAAATCATCTAGCTGGCCCAGCAGTCACAGATGTGTACACATTTAGTCCATCTGGGTGACCTAGGCCTACAAGCCCTTCCTGTCACCATGACAGGTAGAAAACTGGCCTCTGCTGCAACTGTAGACTGAGTAAGGGCGTCTGTCCTCAGACCACTAGTCCGTTAGTAAAACACCTTCAAGTGTGTCTATTCTTGAGAGTACATCTAACTCCTCTTCCAGGAGCCCACCCAGCACGTAGTCAAGAAAAGTTATTATCTCCCTGCTCCTCTAGCCCAAACAGCTTCATCTTTCCCAGTCATTCCGTCTAACGAATTATAGTTTCTAGACCCGGCTCTCAAATGTATAGTCTCCTGTGTTTCCATTTTCAAGTAAAAATTTCCAAAACTCAGTTCATTCATTCAAAACCATTCAGTCATTGCTAAGAGACACATGATGTCATCAAAGAACATACTGGTGTTGTTATTGTTGTTAGGAGCCATCGATCTGCTCCAACTCATAGTGTGACCCCATGTACAACAGAAGGGAACAACACTTGGGCCGGCACCATCCTCACAATTGTTATGTTTGAGCCCATTGTTGCAGCCACTGGGCCAACCCATCTTGCTGAGGGTCTTCCTCTTTGTGCTGCCCTTCTCCCAAGCATGATGTCCATCTCCAGGGACTGGTCTTTCCTGACATGTCCAAAGCACATGAGATAAGGGAGCCTCTGGCTGTAGCTCTTCCAAGACAGATTTGTTGGTTGTTTAACAGTCCGTGGTATTTTCAATATCCTTCGCCAGCACCATAATTCAAATATAACGATTCTTCTTCAGTCTTCCTTATTCCTAGTCCAACACTCACATGCATATGAGGCAACTGAAAATATCATGGCTTGGGTCAGGCATACCTGAATCCTCAAAGTGACATTCTTGCTTTTCAACACTTTAAACAGGTCTCATGCAGCATATTTACCCCATGCAATGAGTAAATATGATCTCTGGACTGTTGGCTCCATGAGCATTGATTGTAGATCCAAGCAAGACAAAACTTCAATTTTTCCTACAATTATCATGATTTTATATACTGACCCAGTTGTGAGCATTTTTATTTTCTTGACATTGGCTTGGAGTTCACATTGAAATCTGCAATCCTTGATCTTCATCAGCAAGTGCTTCAAGTCTTCCTCACTTTTAGCCAACAAGGTTGTACCATCTGCATATCTCAGGTTGTTAATAAACCTTCCTTTAATCCTGATTTTGCTTTCTTCTTCATATAATCCAGCTTCTCTGATTATTTGCTCGCATACAGATTGAGTAAATATGGTGAGAGGATACAACCCTGATGCACATCTTCATTCATTTTAAACCACACAGTATCCTCTTGTTCTGTTCACACAATTACCTCTAGATGCATGTGCAGGTTCCGCCTGAGCCCAGGAAGTAATCTGGCATTCCCATTGTTGCCACGGCGATCCAGAAATCCACACAGTCGAATGTCTTAGCATAGTCAATACAACACAAATAAATATCTTTCTAATATTCTCTGCTTTCAGCCAAGATACGTCTGACATCAGCAATGATATCCCATGTTCCGTGTCTCTTCTGAATCCAGCCTGAATTCTGGCAGCTCCTTATCAATGTACTGCTGGAACCATTGTTGAATGATTTACAGCAAAATGCTACTTGCATGCTATATGAATGATGTTGTTGTATAATTTGTACATTATGTTGAGTCATCTTTCTATGGAGTGGGTACAACAAGTATGGATCTCTTCCAGTCAGTTGGCCAAGTAGCTAGCTTCAAAATTTCCTGATACAGATGAGTGAGTGCTTCCAGTATTTCATCAACTTGTGGAAATATCTCAGTTGGTATTCTGCCAATACCTAGAGCTTCATTTTGGCTCATGTTTTCAGTCCAGCTTGAACTTCTTCCTTCAAGCCCATTGGTTCCAGTCATCTACTACCTCCTGAAATGGCTGAATGTTGACTAATTCTTTTTGGCCAGTGAATCTGTGATGTATTGTTTCAAACTTCATTGATGCTTACTGCATCGTCTAATATTTTGCCCACATAATCTTTCAATATTGCAACTCAAGGCTTGACTTTTCTACAATTGTTCAGTGTAAGATGGGCTAAGCATGTACTTCTTGTTTTGTATTCTAATGCTTAGTCTTTGCGCATTTCATTAGATTTTGTCTTCCAAAGCTGTTCTTTGAAATTTTCTGTTCAGCTCTTTTACTTCATCGTTTCTTCCATTTGCTTTAGCTACTCTACAATTAATAGCTAGTTTCAGAGTCTCTTCTGACATCCACTTTGAACTTTTCTTTCTTTCACGCCTTTTTAATGACCTTTTGCTTTCTTCCTGTGTTCTTGATGTCCTCCCACAACTTCTCAGTGTTCAAGGCATCAGATCTGTCCGTGGGATATTCTCAGATTTCAGGTGAGATATACTCAAGGTCATATTTTGACTTTTGTGGGCTTGTTTTAATTTTCTTCATCTTCAAGAATTTAGGTATGAGCAATTGTTGATCTATCCCACAGTCGGCCCCTTGTCTGGATTTAGCTACTAATATTGAGCGTCTCCATCATGTCTTCCATAGATGGAGTCAATTTGATTTCTGTGTATTTGATCTGGAGGAGTCCACGTGTATAGTCTCTGTGTTGTTGGAAAAGGGTATATGCAATTAAGTTAGTTGTCTGACAAAAATTGAT